GGCAGTTCCTACTATCTTTGTATACTTTATTAACTGTTCTCTCCACCTGCCCTGTCACCAAATATCCTCCCCCACCTCGCCACCGATGCCTCTGCTCCTGCACCCTGTTTAGAATTGAGCCCTTTGTTTGAAATAAATCAGATTTCTCCTCATTGATTGTCATCTGTCATGAATCTGTCCATTCTGCCAATTTATCTACATCCTTTCAAAGAGCTTCACTGGCCTCCTCATAGTTTACAATGCTTCAAAACTGAATATCATCAGCAAAACACACAGGATTTACTTTCATTGAAGTCGGTCTCTGTTATTACGACAAGATTGTATTTCCATGTAACAGTCTTCTTCAGCAACTCAGAAGATGTAATTTAACACACACTATAACACTATTTTAGACTTAACTCCTTTCCCACTAACGCTGAATCCAACTTGCAATAACTCAGGAAGCCTGACTGAAAAGGAACATTGTTTATTGTTGAATACCAAAACAGAGCCACAACTGATGGTGTACGTAGCCCAAGACTGACAATTTTTCAGACCCTTACTTTTTTTCTTACACCAATGAGTGCTGTTACACACAACTGGACAGCTTTTACCCCATTACTAAATCATTGTGATGATTTTTGAACTGCCACCAGTAAATCACCCATGTAGCCAATTAAATGTTTACATGCAAAGCCCATCACAGCCAATGCAAACCATCAAAAATGAGGGGGAGGTAGGGAGAGAGGAAAGGGACTAAATCAACATGAAGTTTTGGGGAAGAAAAAGCACCATATGTCTCACGATGCCCACCTCCCTCTAACAGCATCGAGAGCATTGATGGACACTGTGTGCTCCCTCTCCAAGGACACTAGGGCATGAACATTGCCAGAACGTAACCACGATATGAAGGTGCTGGTGTTAGACTGGGATGGACAAAGTCAGAAGTCACACAATACCAGGTTATAGTCTAACAGGTTTATTTGGAATCACACAAGCTTTCAGGGCGCAGCCCCTTTGTCAGATGCAGTGAGACAGCAGGGTACACAGCCACAGAGTTTATAGGGAGAGAGATCAAATACCGTATAACACTCTTGGTCACCTGCAGAGACTTATTATCTGACGAGTTAGATGATCTTTTGATCTCTCTGCCTATAAACTCTGTGTCTGTGCGTCCTGCTCTCTCGCTGCACCTGACGAAGGGGCTGCACTCTGCAAGTTTGTGTAATTCCAAATAAACCTGTTGTACTATAGCCTGGTGTTGTGTAACTTCCAACATAAGTACGAAAGAGGTGATCTGCTTTATAAAGGGCCGGGGGTGAGTTCCAGCTGAGTGGGCCATTACCTGTAACCAAGGGAGCTCATACTCAGCGAACTCCATGAAAGGATTAATTAGTGATTCTGCATAAGCTTTGTAAGTTTTTTCACATAACTAATACCTTACTGTTTGAGACTCCAGTATATTCTGTCCCTTGCAATTTTCTTTGCACTTTGATATCTGCCTGTTGTATAAACTCTTGGTTTCCACACCAGGAATAAGTTGATTTAAATCGTAGCAAATTGTCTCCCAAGGGGAGCTCAGCTTTCCTCCTGCACATCTCTCCAACCACACCTTCAACTGGTCTATCCTACTCTGTACTCATTCTCACGTGGAACTGGCGCTAATCCAGAGTTTGCAATGTTTAAGGGACTGCTTGCTAATATCTTATATAGAACCCTAAATCCTAACTGCAGAACCATATCCCTCTTTCTTCCTATATCATTGGTATCGACGTGGATGATGAATGTTGCTGTTCACCCTCCTCCCTTCAGGGAAGCTACAGCCATTCAGTCACATCCTTTACCCTGGCATCTAGAAGACAACACACTATCTTGGATTCTCACGTATGACCATGGAAATATCTGTCTATTCCTCTAACTAATAAATCACCTATCACTATGACTCTTTCAGACTTCCTTGTACCCTCTCTAAAGGACTGTGGCTGCACCACCCCCCTGCCCTTATGACCAATCACTCATGCAACTGAATGCTGGATAGAGTGTTGACTATCTGGTGATCACTCACTTCCTCTCTGCCTGCATACGCTTAAGCTGTGGAGTAGCTCTCAACCTCACTGTTGCTGCTGAAACTCCAAAACCCGAACTTGAGCTGCTGAAATTGGTACTGCCTGCATTTTATGCTTCGGAAATGTCAGGGTTTACACATGGAGCAGTATATATAGTTCAGAGGTCAGAGCTGCCCTGCCGTTCCCCTATTAGATAATAAAACTTACTACTTAAAAAAGCCTCACCTTTGACCTGCCTCATATTCCTCCCCGTCTGCTTCGTATTTGACAATATGTCACTATATCTATATCTTGTCTATTTCCTGAAATTCCCTCATCAACAGCACTCTGGTGAAAATATGATGTGGACTGCAGCAATTCAAGAAGGCAGCTTACCACCACCTTGTCACAAGGAAAGAAAGCTTACATTTACCAGCAGCAAAATATTTTCTTTTACTTGTTGGGTGTATCTCTAGCTGGGTCATCATTATTTCCCATCCCTAATTGCCCTTGAACTAAGTGGCTTGCTCGGGCCATTCCAGAGGACAGTTAAGAGTCAGCCACATTGTCATGGCTCTGGAGTCACATATATGCCATCAGATGTCCTTCCTTAAAGAACCTTAGTGAAGCAAACAGGCTTTTACATCAATGGTTACATGGTCACCATTAGGTTAGCTTTTAAGTCCAGATCTTATTGAATACAAATTTCATCATTTGTTTGGTGGGATTTGAACTGCCCTATACCTCCAAAACATTTGACCTGGGGTTCTTGAATTACCACTATGCCACTGTTAGTTCTCAAGAACCAACTTGGTAATAACATTTAAAGTCCAGAGCAACAAGGAGTAAGTACAGAGCATAGCAATGTGTTTTGCTATACGATAAAGTGTTCTGGCTGAAAGGAGATTTCAGATTTCTGGTTTTCATTTTGTTTTCAGTACTCCAGGCACCGTGAGCATGATCTGAGGGACCGGATCAACATCCGTAGTAATATAACCCTAGCACTGACTTCCCTGACAGTCGCAACTCTGGAGGACGTGAACCAGATCAGTGCAGCACTGGCTCAGTGTGTGGTGAGAAACCTGTAGCTTCTTGACTTTGTACTGTAACAGGTTGTGATGTTCACCATGATGTAGGCTCACTGCGTTAGGATTGTACTGCTGACAATAAAATGCTCATTGGACAATGTCATCCTCATTCCCCTTGGCTCACATTCAATCAGTACCAAATCTCTCAGTTATTCTTCCCTCCTTTCTTTGTTCACTCTTCTCTCTCTAACTTTTCCTTTAGTTTCCATACATCATCTCATTTGTTTTCTCTTGCTTCTTTACAGTCTCTCTGCCTCTTATTGTGTCTCTGTCTTTCATTTTCTCCCTGTCTTTCTCTCTCCCTTCCTCTTTCTCACTCTTTCTCAATTTGTTTGTGACTCAGTCTCTCTCTCGTTCTAACTGTTTCAGTCTATTTAGCTGTCTCTCTCATTCTCTCTGTCTCTCTCATTGTGTCTTTGGCTTGTTTGCTGTGGCTCAGTGGTATTGCCCTTTACTCTGAGTCAGAAGGGCATTTGCTGAATTGAGCACAGAATCGAGCGTGCCATTTCTGGTCCCTGTTGGAGGATTGAGCGATACCCAGGGAAGGTTGAGGATGATGGATTGTGGCTTCAGGACAACAGCAGGAAGTTCAAAGAAGAGAATTAGAAGGTCTGGAGTCAGTGGCCATGGGTCAAAGATGATGGTTAGAGGCTCCAAGATGATTGGGATGAACAAACAGAGATGTTGAAAGGGATGAGAGGAAGCTTGAGAGTGACAGAGAGGATGGAGCAGGATGGCTGCAGATGCAGGATTACTGAATGCATGTCAATGACAAGGATGTGAAAAAAGTTTGAGCTTGCAGGAGGTCAGGTTGTTGTGAATGGAGGCCATTGTGTAATTCACATGAATGTAACAAACTGGGAGCAGGTGTAGGCCATTCAGTCCCTCAAACCTGCTTTGCCATTTGATGAGGTCATCGCTACTCTGACTGTGGCCTCAATTCTACATTGCTGTCTTCTCCTTTAACTTGTCTGTCAGGAATCCAGTCTACCTTACAAATATTTAATCACTAGTCTCCTTTGCTCTCTGGGGAAGAGAATTCTGCAGATTAACCACCCACTGAGAAAAAAAATTTCTCCTCATCTATGTTAAATGTAAACTCCATATTTTTAAAAATATAGTCCTGTAATTCTAATCTTTCCCATGAGGGAAAAGTCATCTCAGAATCCACTCAGCCAAGTCCCCTCAGGATCATATAGTTTTCAATAACATCAGCTCTCATTATTGTATACTCCAATGGCTGCAGATCTAATCTATCCAAACTTTCCTTGTAATCCTAGCAATCATTCAAGTAAACCCTCTCTGAGCTGCTTCTAATGCTATTATGTCCTTTCTTTAATCAGGAGATCAGACTGTACACAGTACTCCTGCTGTGCCCTAATCAGCACTCTGTAGCAAAACATCCCTCCTCTGATATTCCATTCCCCTACAATAAACACTAACATTCCATTTTCCTCTCTGATAACCTGTTGCACCTGAGTGCTGACTTTTTGTGATCTGCATACCAGGATGCACCAATTCTTCTGCACCACCAAATTCTGCCTTCTGTCTCTCTCGTTGAGTGTTGGTTACGTTTGTGTATGGTTTGAAAAGTAACTAGGATGATGACTGTTTCCAGAACTGTGACTAAAATTGTGTCAGAGGGCAGGGAACCTCTGGAATGTTTGTTTGTTTGTGCTAGATTTGCAACCAGAGTGTAAACATTTGAGGGCCATTAGTTTGTTTTTTTATTTGGGATAAGCAAGGATTGATTTTAATCAAAGCAAAGCATGAAAGTTTTTGAGCAGTTTTGAGGATACCTGAGTCGAGTTGGAAGTGTAACTTATTTTCTGTCCCAGAAAGGAGAACACATCAAAGAAAACATCAAGAAATAAGTTATCTTTGTGGTAAGTTAATTTGAGCAAGTACAAGAGTGGTTGATTGGAAATATGTAGATTATTTAAAGAGTGAGAAAGTTTCAGCTTTAGGTTTTGTGAATATTTATCTAAGAAGAGTTCACAGGAAAGTAACTGCGAAGAATCAGTTGTATTGAACTTAAAGATTTGAGATAGAGGGGTACTTTGTCAGGTAGTGAAATTGTAAAGTATACTGCAAAGGTATACAACTATAAATATAATATCAGGAAATAGATGAAAACTTTGTTTTACTGAGTGTTTTGAGATCTTTTCAATTTTATAGTGAAAACAACTTTTGTTTTATTGTTAGAGAAAATCATGGAACAATTTTTCATTTTGTCTTCAATACTTTCTCCCACAGGCTTTTCCTGGAGAATTTATAATGGGTCAGGGGCTGGAGGGAAGTCTGAGGATAACCGGACAGATGATTGACATCATTGGAAATCAGACAGGCCAAGGATCAGCCACACCCAGTGAAGCTGGAAGAAATATTTTGAGAATCCTAGGTACCTAACTCCTGCCAGTGTCAGTGTAACATCATTGGGACAGGGCAAGCTTCACATTGACTACTAGCGTGTGGTGTCAACAGAAAGCTGAGCCAAAGGTGGAGAATTTAACATTCCCTCCAGAGACTTGGGCAATAAATCTCAGCTGACACTCCAGTGCAGTCTCAAGGGAATGCTGCAGGATCTATGTGGATGCTGCAGTACACCACTGAGAGAGTGCTGCAGTACACTGCAGTGCAGTCACAAGGAAGTGCTGCAGTATCTAAGTTCATGCTCCAGTGCAGCTCTGAGTGCTACATGGTCTAAGCTGAGATTCCAGTGCAGCAATGAAGAGTGCAGGAGTCCAGCAGCAGCACCAGGCAAACCTAAAATTGGCATGTCAACTTGGTACAGTTACCAGACAAGACTACTTACATGCCAAACAGCAGAAGCAGCATGTAATAGAGAGAGCTAAGCAATTCCATAGCCAATGGATCAGTTCTAAGGTCTGTAGCCCTGCCACATCCAGTTGTGAATGATGGTGGACAGTTAAACAACTCATTGGAGGAGGAGCCTCACAAAAATCCCATCCTCAATGATGGAAGAGCTCACACATCAGTGCAAAAGATAAAGCTGAAACATTCATATTAATTTTCAGTCATAGTTGCCTCATCTTGGCCTCCTCCAGTGGTCCCCAGCATCACAGATACCAGTCTTCAGATAATTCAATTCACTCCATTTGATATATAAAAAAACGATTAAAGACAATGGATACTCCAAAGGCTATGGGCCCTGACAATATTCTGGCAATAAAGAACAAAGAAAATTACAGCACAGGAACAGGCCCTTTGGCCCTCCAAGCCGATCCAGATCCCCTATCTAAACCTGTCGCCTATTTTCCAAGGATCTGTATCCCTCTGCTCCCTGCCCATTCATGTATCTGTCTAGATACATCTTAAGTGACGCTATCGTGCCCGCCTCTACCACCTCCGCTGGCAACGCGTTCCAGGCACCCACCACCCTCTGCGTAAAGAACTTTCCATGCATATCTCCCTTAAACTTTTCCCCTCTCACCTTGAAATCGTGACCCCTAGTAATTGATAGTACTGAGGATTTGTACTCCAGAACTTGATGCTCCCCTAGCCAAGCTCTTCCAGTAAAGATACAAAACTGGCATCTACCTGACAATGTGGAAAGCTGCCCAGGTATGTCCTGTCCACATAAAGCAGGACAAACCCAGCCCGGCCAATTACTGTTCCATCAGTCTCCTCTCGATCAACAGTGCAGTGATGGAAAGTGTCATCAACAGTGCTATCAAGCAGCACCTGCTCAGCAATGACTTGCTCATTGACGCCCAGTTTGGGTTCCACTAGGACCACTCAGCTCTTGACCTCATTATAGCCTTGGTTCAAATGTGGACAAAAGAGCTGAATTCATAAGGTGAGGTCAGAGTGACAGCCCTTGATATCAAGGTTGCATTTGACTGAATGTGGCATCAAGGAGCCCTAGCAAAACTGGAATCAATGGGTATCAAACTGTCTGTCTGGGTTGGAGTCATACCTAGTAAAAATAGGAAGATGGTTGTGGTTTCAAAGGTCAGTCATCTCAGCTCCAGGACATCTCTGCAGGAGTTCCTCAAGGTAGTCTCCTCGGCCCAATCATCTTCAGCTGCTTCATCAATGAACTTCCCTCCATCATAAGGTCAGAAGTGGGAATGTTCGCTGATGATTGCACAATATTCAGCACCATTTGCGACTCCTCAGATATTGAAGCAGTCTATGTTCAAATGCAACAATATCCAGGTTTGGGCTGACAAGTGGCAAGTAACATTTGCACTACACAAATGCCAGGCAATGACCATCCTCAATAACAGACAATTTAACCATTGCCCCATAACATTCAAAGGTGTGACCATCACTGAATTTGCCACTGAGTTACAATTGACCAGAAACTCAACTGGACTCACCACATAAACACAGTGGCTACAAGCGTAGGTCAGACGCTGAGAATACTGCATTGAGTAATACATATCCTCATTCCCCAAATCCTGCTCACCATCTACAAGGCACACGTCTGGAGTATGACAGAATATTCCCCACTTGCCTGGATGAGTGCGGCTGCAATAACACTCGAAGCTCAAAACCATCAAGGCCAAAGCAGCCCGCTTGATTGGTGCTACATCCATAAGCATCCATTCCCTCCAGCACTGACTGTCAGTAACAGCAGCGTATACTATCTACAAGATACATTGCAGACATTCACCAAAGATCCTTAGACAACACCTTCCGAACCCAAGACAATTTCCATGTAGGAGGACAAGCGCAGCATATACATGGGAAGACCACTACCTCAAGCCATTCACCATCTTGAGTTGGAAATATATCACTGTTCTTTCATCATCATTGGGTCATATTCCTGGAATACCTTCCCTTATGGCATTGTGGGCCAAACTACAGCAATTGGACTGCAGCGGTTCAAGAACATCACCACCACCACCTTCTTGAGGGCAACTTGGGATGGGAAGTAAATGCTGGCCAGGCGGTGATGCCCACGCCCCATGAGTGAATAAGGAGAAAGAAGAAGTGCCACATGGTTCTAAGCTGAGACTCCATTGCAGCAGTGAGGGAATGCTGCAGTATCTGAACGAATGCTCCGTTGCAGCACTGAGGGAGTGCTACAATGCCTGAGGGAATGCTCCGTTGCAGCAGCGAGGGCGTGCCACAGTGTCTGAGGGAATACTCCATTGCAGCAGTGAGGGAATGCTACAGTGTCTGAGCAAACGCTCAATTGCATCAGTGAGGGAGTGCTACAATGTCTGAGCAAACGCTCAATTGCAGCAGTGAGGGAATGCTACAGTGTCTGAGCGAACACTCCATTGCAGCACTGAGGCAGTGCTACACTGTCAAACTGGATGTGAAAGATCCCAAGTAGAAATGTGAATGTTTCCCAATATTTATTTACCAACAAGTATCTTTAAAAATCAAACTCCTGGAGCTCGCTGTGCAAAGATCAGTGCCATATTTGTTGCTTTACAACAGAAATAACACTTCAGAACTATGACGTTTGCCAGAGAGCATTTGAGAATATCCCAGGAAATTATATAAATGCTAGGCATTTCTTTATTGTGAGCATATAATCACTCACTTAGAGCTTTTCTTTTGTAAACTGACTTAATCTCCCAGGGCGCTAACTGGTGTGACCTCAGGCTTGCATTTTACTGAGATGAAGGCCCCCTCCCTAATGAAGTGGCTGTGCCTTAGCATCATCACAGGGAGGCAGCAGCTTATACCCATTTCTCCCCAGGAAGGCAGCAGTTACCCCTCAGAGAGGCAGGTTGTTTTGCACCTTTCTCAAGCTCCTTGTGTTATAGAGCATGAGGACATTGCTGATAAACTCACACCCACACCCTCCTCAGGACCAGCCCCCTCCTGAAGACCCTGCCCCCTCCTTAAGAACTTGCCCCCTCCTTAAGAACTTGCCCTTTCCTCAAGGTCCTGCACACTCAGCAAGAATCCATCCCCTCCTGAAGATCCTATACCCTCAGAAAGGCCCTGCCCCCTCAGCAAGATCCTGCCACCCAGCCAAAATCCAGAGAGCAGAAAGGGAGACTATGAAGTGCTCAACTCTGTCACATGTCTTAGCTACTCTGGCCTCACCTTTCTGTACTTTTCCCATCACTCTCATCAGTCTTATTCCCAGTCTTTCCTGGTTGTTCCTGACCATTCCCTGCCTTTTATTCCTGGGTTTATTCCCAGTTACTCACTATGTCTGCCTTTGGAGTTGGTCAAACCCTGCCCCTGTCCCAGGGTTTGTCAGTATGCTGCCTGAACAATGTGTTGCTTCACCAATCTTTTGTTTTCTGTTACTCTGTGCAGGTGCTGCAATGTCTGTGATTGATGTTGGTCCAAATAATGGAACCCAGAGGCAAGATGACCTGTTCACCTCTGCAACCATCTTCCAATTGACCAGCAAACTTGTCCAGTCTCTCATGCGCTCTCGGGTTCTCAATGAGGAGCCCTTGTTATTATCTGTCTCTGAGATCGACGTGCAGGGGAAGAGAGTGGACCCCTTCAACCTGTTGTGTGCCTGGCCTGGTGAGCCATGCCTCTTCCACATCCCCCAGGCACTATCCAGCCAGCTGTCAGCAAACCGTGAGCTCATCCAGCTAACAATGAGCCTCAGGGTCAATCCGTTCCCAGGAGGCACCATCAGCAACTACAGTGTCTCCACCCATCTCGGATCCATGGAGTTGAGCAGCTCACAAGGGCTTCCAGTCTCGATCAGTGGCCTTGCCACAGAAAGGTCCATCCGTATCACCCTAGCAGACCGGAGGCCCCATCAGCGGGAACACACAGTGACAGTGAAAACTCTGAGTCCTGGAGAAAGTGTGAATTTCACCATCCGGCCTGTCAATAGTAACCGTGCAGCTGGACTCCACGTTGACTTGCGGTTCACGCTGATAGGTACCTCTTTCTTCAGTTCTCTGTATTTTAACATTTTTGTTTATAGGTGTGGCTGCCTGGGCCAGCATTTACAGCTTGTCCCTGCTTGCCTTAGAATTGAGTGACTTGCTCCAGCATCTCAGAGTGCGGTTATAACTTGACAATGTTGCTGTGTGTCTGCATGTAGGCCAGACCAGTTGGGGTGGCAGATTCCTTCCCAAAAGGGCAATAATCAACCAAATAAGTTTTACAACAATTAACAGTGGTCACATGGTCTCTCTTAGGAAGTGCATGGAAATGTGGTGGAGGCAGGTTTAACTGAGGAATTCAAGAGGGCATGGATTTGAAAAAAAGTAATGTGCAAGGGTATGGGAATAAAACCAGAGACTAGTATTATGTAAAGATACTCACTTAATGAGCTGGTACAGGCACAATGGGCCAAATAGCCTTCTTCACGGGTGTACCAATTCTGTGATTAAGTTAGCTTTTAATTGCAATTTTTTATTGAATTCAAATTTCACCATCTGCTGTGGTGGGATTCAAACCCATGTCCCCAGAATATTAACCTGGATTATGATACCATCATTCCACCCCACACTGTTCTTGGTGCTTAAAAAAATGTAGAGATGTAGAGAGAGAAAAGATATTAAGGCCTTGGATTTTAACTCTGACCTCAGCTGAAAATGACTGGGAAGGAATGAGACCATTAAAATGGGAGGAGTGAGTGACTGTGAACTGTTGCTGTGTTATTTGTTTCACACTACCTCCGGTTTTTCTCTTAGGTTTTTTTTCCACAGGACCTCTAATTCCACCAGGGCCATCCTGAACAGAGGGTAATGCTACTCAGGGAGGGAGCAATGCCCATTTTAATCTGACTAATCATGGGCTGCAAGGAGTCCCAGCCTCTGTCCTCTCTTACTGTGTGGGACTGCCTCTGTTGGTCTCACTGGGACATGGAACTGCTGGTTTCATCCTGGTTTTAGTTGGAAACAATGGCTCATGCCCCTTGCATGGACAAACACACCGCCCACTGGAGATTGGGGGTGGGGGAGGCCTTTGTTCCCTTATGGAGTGAGCAGTGCCGCACAGAGAAACCTCGCAGTCCCCAAGCCCCTGAGAATTCCCCCATCCCATGAGAACTGCTGTTACCAGTAAATCCTGCAGGGATTGGCAGCAATTGGATTCTGGGTAAAGAAGTGAAGGCCTCTCCACAGATCCTGGGCCTGTATGTGTTTGTCGGACACTCAGGACACTTGCACAGCTCAATCCAGCCAGGCCCAAAATCATAGCCTGCTGGGGTTTTCCAGCAACTTTGTTTTGTTCCAAAACCATAGTGTGGTTTTCAAAAAGACACCATAAATATTCCTGCTGTCATTATTGCTGCTCCAGAGGAATTGAGGAATTACAGTTTGTAAGGCTCAGCCCAGCAATTACAGACCGGTCAGTTTAATCAGTGGTGGAGAAACAATAATTTGGGAGAAAATTAATAGTCACAAAGAAGAATTATGGAAGACCCAGCATAGATTTCTGAAGGGAAAATTGAATTTCACTGACTTGCTGGAATTTTTCAAACTGACAGTATTCAGGTTTGTTGAGGGTAATGCTGTTGATGGGGCATACGTAGATCTCCATACAGTGTCATACGACAGACTGTGAGGAAAATAAAAGCAACAGGAGCAAAGTGGACAGTGAATTGGATGAGTGACAACTCAACAGGACCCCTACTCAGTAGGAAAGGTTCCATCAGTTTACTTTGTGCTGTTTGTCTTTCAAAAATTGAGCAACTGGGTTACAGGGGATAGAGTTGGTAGATGGGTCTGGGTGGGATGCTCTCAGAGGGTTGGTGTGGACTTGTTGGGCCGAATGGCCTGTTTCCACACTGTAGGGATTCTATTCTAGGTGAGCTTGTTCTTAACTTATCCTAACTTGCAGCAAATTCTGTCATGCAGCTCCATGTTTACTGCTGCACATTGGCTGTCAATCCAATAAAAGTTCAAATGATCATCATGTTCTTTAATTGTTCATCTGTAGAAAATGGGGAAGCCAATAGTGTAGTGGTATTGTTGTGGAGTAATAATCCAGAAACCAAGGGAATGTTCTGGGGGTACGAGGTTCATATATTACCATGGAAGATGGAGCAGTTTAGGTTCAGGGGAAAACAGAACCTAAATTTAAAAGTCTGACTGTGTCTATGCAACCATTGTTGTTAAAAAATAAATCTGGTTTACGAATGCCCTTTAATGAAGAAGATCTGCTGTACTGATTTGTCACAGCACAAGACAATTCAACTAACAAAAACCTGAAGGAACTGCAGATGCTGTAAATCAGGAACAAAAACAGAAGTTGCTGGAAGCTCAGCAGGTTTGGCAGCATCTGTGAAGAAAAATATCAGAGTTAATGTTTCAGATCTGGTGACTGTTCCTCTGAACTGATGGTAGCTGGGGAAATGTTGGTTTATATGCAGAAAATAAGGAGGGGAATGGGGTGGGGAGTAAACATTAGGATAGAGCCCGAAGAGAAAGAAAAGCAGTTGGATAGACAAAGGAGTTGATAACGATCTGGCTAGGAGGGTGAATAGTAGTTAATGGGGACTGTTAGTGACTAACAATAGGTAGTGTGTAATGGCAGGCTATGTGATAAAAGAACAACACCTCATTTTCCACTTGGGGACCCTGCAGCCCTCCAGACTCAATATTGAGTTCAATAATTTTAGGGCCTAAACTCTCCCATGTCTTAGCCCCCTACCCCACACACCAGGCCTTGATATCATATAGCCTGCCATTACACACCCCCTGTTATTAGTCACTAACAGTCCCCATTAACAACTATTCACTCTCCTTTGCACCACTGTTGGTGGCTGTACCTTAACAAAGTTAGACTTACAGCTTTAGAATTTCTGTCCTAAACCCTTCTGCCTCTTTATCTCTAATCTTTAAAACCTACCTCTCTGACAAAGAACATGACCCCACTGCGAAGCCTCTTCTAAGGAGCCTCTCTGCTCCTATGATGCTGCTTGGCCTGCTGTGTTCATCCAGCCCTGCACCTTGTTGTCTCTGATCTCCTGTCCTAATGACCTGCACACATAGAATCAAACCTCAGTATGAATCTATACCTTCAGGATAGTTGACAGCTCATTACCAAACTAAAAAGACAATTTGGGATAGTAAGAACTTCCGATGCTGAAGTCAGAGATAACACAGTGTGGAGCTGAGAAACACAGCAGGCCAGGCAGCATCAGAGGAGCAGGAAAATTAATGTTTCGGGTCGGGACCCTTCTTCAGAAATGGGGGTTTCTGAAGAAGGGTCTCGACCTGAAACGTCAGCTTTCCTGCTCCTCTGATGCTGCCTGGCCTGCTGTGCTCCTCCAACTCCACACTGTGTTACCTCTAAAAAGACAAAGATGTTTCTGTATACTTGCAACAAACTGTCATCATCCCATTTCTAACCCTTATTCAGGGTTCTCTTGGACAGCTGAACTCAGTGGGCACTCTTTAAACCCATTTCTCTACCCAGAGAATCGTCAGCTGCCAGCCCATCAATTTTGACTTTTGCCATGAGGCCAAGTCTTACCCTGATGATTTAGATTCTCTCTCTCTCTCTCTCCCCAGATCTTGATGGTGCCCAGGACCCAGAACCTTTTGTCCAACTCCATGTCCACAACAACCCACTGTTTAATGGATCCCCATACAATGCAACAAGAGGAATCATTCTGCGTCCCACCAGGGAACGTTCAACTGTCGAGCACACCATTTTCCTATCTCCTGAGTGAGTATAATTTCTCATGTTGTGTTGTGATTGAGAATAGAGTTGATTCTGAGCTTCCAATACAGAGGCCAGCAGCAATTTTAGAAACAACTTTGAGAGGTTGCGTAGATGATGTAGACACATTGAGGTATTTTGTAACCCGCTATCTCCCTCAAGGAAGTCAGTTGCTGGAGATCCCTCCTTACTGGATGGAATAGGTAATACTCAACCATTGTATATTCTTGGTACTTGATATCCTGGCATCAAACAGTCAGAAACAATTGTCCAGCTGTAGCTGTTTGGAGAAATAAAACTGAAAATGCTGGAAATTCTTCAGAAATCACTCCACACCTGTCAAGAAAGAAACAGGGTTAATGCTTCAGGTCAGTGACCATTCATTAGAAATGTCTCAGAATCCTAGCCCAGACTGAAACTGAAACACTTTGTACACAGTGAGGTAGATCTCAGTGTGTAAGCTATACATAACACACCTGAAGTATGACACAACAGTCACAGTTACTCGGGGTTCATCACTTTACAAGAAGCATACTTGAACTTCTCCATGCTTTGCTAAAACAGATTTTAAAAATTCATTCATTGGATGTGGGCATCACTGGCTGGGCCAGTATTTACTGCCCATCCCTAGCTGCCCTTGACAAGGTGAGTTGCCTTCTTGAACCACTGTAGCCCGTTTGGTGTAGGAAAACCCACAATGCCTGTAAGGATGGAATTCCATGGTTTTGACCCAGCAACAGTGAAGGAATCACAGGTGATATGTAGCAGTAGGAGGCTCAATGTGTTCAAACCTGTTCTTCCAATGAGTGTCATTACCTCTTGCCGATCTCCTGTGTTTTCCCCAAAATCTGACAAGTCCCCAGGGTCTGATAATCTAGATCCCGGAGTACTAAAGGATATGGCCCTGAAATATTGGATGAATTGGTGGATATATTCCAGAATTCTATAGAATCTGGAGCAGTTCAATGAGATTTAAGAATGCCACATGTGATTTATTTGAATATCAAGAAAGTTTTTGAGAAGAGATTATTGGGCAAAATTAAAGCAACTGGGCTGGGGGGTAATACATTGGCATAGATTGAGAATTGGTTGACAGGCAGGAAACAGAGAGTGGGAATAAATGAGACTTTTCCAGGTGGGAGGCGGTGACTAGTGGGCAACCACAAGGGTTAGTGCTTGGACTCCAGCTAGACTCATTGAGGTTACTGCACAGAAAAGGCCTTTCAGCCGATCGAGTTTCACCAGTGAAAAGCAATCACCTAACTATTCTAATCCCATTTCCTTGTATGCCTTAACATTGCAAGTGCACATCTGAATACATCTTCATTACATTAGGGTTTCTGCCTCTAACCCTCTTACAGGTAGCGAGTTTCTAGATTCCGACCACCCTCCGAGTGTAAAGATTTTTCTTCACATCTTCTCTAAAGGTCCTGCCCCTTACCTTAAATATATGCCCCTGGTCATTGATCCCATCATCAAGGGGAAAAGTTTCTTCCCGTCTACCTTCTCTACCCTCGTCATAATTTTATACATCTCTGCCACGTCCCGTCTCAATTTCATCTGCTGTAAGAAAGATAGCCCCAGTCTATCCAATCTCTCTTCATAACTGAAACTCTTCAGCCTAGGTAACATCCTGGTAAATCCCCTTTGTACCGTCTCCAGTGCTATCACATCCCTCCTATAATGTAGATTCCAGAACTACACACAATACTGTAGCTGTGGGCTACCAAAGTTTTATACAGTTCCAGCATAACATCCTTCCTCTTAAACTCTCTGCCTTGGCTAATAAAGGCAATTTCATCACATGCCTTCATAACCATTTTATTCATCTGTCCTGATACCTTAAGGGACCAGTGTACTTGCATATCCATGTTCCTCTGATCCTCAGTGCTTCAAAGGGTCCTATCATTCACCATATATTCCTTTGCCTTGTTTGTCCTGTCCAAGTGCCTCACCTCACATTTATCCAGATTGAATTCCATTTGTCACTGATCAGCCCATCTGACCAGCCTGTCTATATCCTCATACAATCTCAGACTATCCTCCACATTATTTACCACTTCCCCAATTTTTGTATCATCTGCAAATTTGCAGATCAACCCTCCACATTCAAGCCTAAATCACTTATACATAGCACAAACAGCGCCTCAACACTAACCCTCTGGAACCCCACTGAACACAGACCCCGGTCACAAAGACACCCCTTAACCATGACCCTCTGCTTTCTGCCACTCAGCCAATTCTGGATGCTACTAGCCAAATTTCCTTGATCCTAGTGGACTCTTACCTTTGCCATTAGTCTCCCATGCAGGACCTTAACTGGAGCCTTGCTAAAGTCAAAGTAAACCACATCAAAATCATTGCCTTCATCTAAAAACGGAGTCACCACTTTAAAAAATTCAATCAAGTTGGTCAGACATGACCTCTTGTGACAAAACCATGCTGACTGTTCTTCGTTAATCCCCACGTCTCCAAGTATAAATTGCTTCCAAAAGTTTCCGGTCCTCCAGTCTTCCGACACGTCTCCTGTAATCAGAATGTGCCCCTACTGTTTCCTCCCTTGCCTCACTCAACAACCTGGGATAAATTTTATCCAGCTACTTTTAAGCCTGCCAGACCATTCAGAATCTATGCAAATTTCTTTAGACATATCACAGTCCTCCTCCTTGATTTCTGTACTAACATCATCCCTTTCACTACTGAACACCAACACAAAGTATTTGTTTAGAACTCTACCTATATCCTCCGGCTCCAATTATAAATTGCCAATGTGTAACTTAATAGAGTCTACTCTTTCCATTGTTATTCTTTTACCCTGAATGTATCTGTAAAACAATTCAGGATTTTTCTTTATTTTGCCTGCCATTATTCTTCCATGCCATCTGTTTGTTCCCCCAATTTCATTTTTAAGTTTCCTCCTTACACATTATGCCTCTTATAAAGCTTCTGCTGTTTGAGCCCTCAGTATCTGCTATAAGCTTGCCTTTTTGTCTTTATCCATTGCTGTATGTCCCTTGGTATCTCGGGTTCACAGGATTTGTTGGTCACACACTGTGTCTTTCTTGGAATGTGTTAGCCCTGTACTCTCCAAACATTCTTTTTGAACGCATCCCACTGTCATGATACAAATTTACCTGAAAGTATCTGCTCCCAATCCATTCTTCCATACCCCCCCCAGTTTAAATCTTCGATTTCAGGCCCATTCTTGCCCATTTCCATAACAATCTTGGATCTAACAGTGGGAGATAGCAAGAACTGCAGATGTTGGAGTTAGAGTCAATACAGTCCTGAGTCCTAATGAAGGGTCCCAGTCTGAAACGTTGACTCTTCTGCTTCTCTGATGCTGCTTGACCTGCTGTGTTCCTCCAGCTCCACACTGTATTGACCTTGAATCTAACAGTTATGTTCCCCATTTGACATTTGCTTGACTTCCTTACCTAAAGTTAAGTCCAGGATTGATCTCACCTAGCGCACACCCAGTGCAATGTAATCTTTATGCCTCTGTCTAAGTCTTTTTGATCCTTTGCTTGCTTTGATCTTTCTGTATCACTTGTAAACAAACCTTTTCACTGTACTTCAGTACATGTGACAATAAATGAATAAATAACATTTACAAAAAAATAAATAGGATTGGCCCATTTTGTACGGCCTTCTAGATGACTTGGGCGCAGAACCAAATGTACTATTTTCGAAGTTTGTTGATGACCCTAAACTAAATTTGAGTTATGTGAAGGATGACAGGAGGCTTCAGGGTGATTGAGACAATTTGAGTATGTGAGCAGGGCAATGTGGATAAATGTGAGGTTATATGCTTTGTGTGAAAAATAGAGAGGCAGAGTAATATTTAACTGGTGATATATTGGGAAATGTGGAAATGCAAAGGTATCTGGGTGTCCTTGTCAGTCAATGAAAGTAGACAGGCAAGTGCAGCAAACAATTGGAAAGGCAAATGGTTTGTGGCCTTCATTGCAAGAAGATTGAGTTCAGGAGTAGGGATGTCTTACTGAAGTTATACAGGATATTGTGATACCGCACCTTGTGTATTGGGTGCAGTTTTGGTCTCTCTACCTTAGAGAGGATATGATTGCCAGAGAGGAAGTGCTGTGAAGGTTCACCAAGCTGATATCTGGGATGGCAGGACTGTTCTTTGAGGTGAGATTATTTTGACTGGACCTGTATTCACTGGAAGAATGAGAAAGAATCTGATTGAAGTGTATTAAATTTAAAGGGGGCTGGCAAACTAGATGCACAGTGGATGTTTCCCCTGAACAGGGAGTCTAGAAACAGATGACGTTATGTTATGTTATGTTCCCCATTTGATATTTGCCTGACTTCCTTACCTAAAGTTAAGTCCAGGATTGATCTCACCTAGCGCACACCCAGTGCAATGTAATCTTTATGCCTCTGTCTAAGTCTTTTTGATCCTTTGCTTGCTTTGATCTTTCTGTATCACTTGTAAACAAACCTTTTCACTGTACTTCAGTACATGTGACAATAAATGAATAAATAACATTTACAAAAAAAAAATAGGATTGGCCCGCCTTGTATGGCCTTCTAGATGACTTGGGCGCAGAACCAAATGTACTATTTTCGAAGTTTGTTGATGACCCTAAACTAAATGCCAAGTTTGAGTTATGTGGAGGATGACAGGAGGCTTCAGGGTGATTGAGATAAGTTGGGGTAGATAATTTTGGACTGAGATCAGGAAGCATTTCTTCACTCAGGATGGTGGACCTGTAGAATTCTCTGACACAGAAGGCTGTGGAAGCCAAACACTAAATATACTCAAGAAAGAGACAGATATTTTTTGAAATATTAAAGGCATTAAGGGGTATGCAGAGAAAGAGGGAATATGACATTGAGATAGAAAATCAGCCATACTGAATGGTAGAGCAGGCTTGAAGGGATGAATGGCCTATACTGCTTCTGGTTTCTATGTTTATATAAATGGGAATCAAGAAGAAGACTCTCTACTGGTTGGAGTCATATCTAGCACATTGGAAGATGGTATGGTTGTTGGCAATTGGTTATCTTTTTCCTGCAATATTACTGCAGGAGTTCCTCTGGGCAATGTCCTATGCCAGCCATCTTCAGCTGCTTCATCAACGACCTTCCCTCCATCATGAGGTCAGGTGGGGATGGTCACTAATGATTGCACAATTTTCAGCACCATTTGCAACTCCTCAGGTACTGAAGTAAAACATGTAGCACTTGGATAATATCTGGACTTGGGCTGACAAGTGGCCAGTAACATTTGCGCCACACAAATTCTAGGCAATGCCCATCTTCAATAAGAAACAATCTAAACATCACCCCTTTATATTCAAAGATATTACCATCATTGGATCCCCCCACTGTCAACATCCTGGGGAATTGACCAGGAACTGTACTGAAATTGCCACATAAATACAATGGCTACAAGAGCAGATTAGAGGCTAGGAACACTGCAGCGAGTAACTCACCTCCTGACTCCCCAAAACCTGTCTGCCATCTATAAGGCATAAGTCAGGAGTGTGACGGAATACTCCCCACTTCCCTGGATGGGTGCAACTCCAACAACACTCAAGAAGCTTGGCACCATCCAGGACAAAGCAGCCCACATGATTGGCATGTACTCATCAGAAAATCACCTGTGAAGAAGGATCATCTAAAGGAGCCTTATGCCTTTAGCTTTCCTGTCTCCTCGACGGTTGGATCATTAAACTTACCTGTTAACTCCTGGTTGTTGCAGGCTTTATGACAGCACCACCGAGCTGTTGCTTGTCACCGTTTCCAACCGCTTCTCTTCTGCCCGAGTGGGTATCACAATCACCATATACACCTCGCTCTGCCAGTACTTCGATTTCCAGAGCTTGCAGTGGAGGACAGAAGGCATTGTGCCCACACACTGGACCAGGCTGGAGGAAGCTGTGTGCCTCACTCAGCATCTCACCCTCTTCGGAGCGAGCCTCTTCGTGTCTCCAAATGCGGTGGAGTTTCTTGCACCGGTACGTATATTCTCTACGCGATTGTTCTTGCACATTTCAACAAGGGTTTCAGCCAGAAATATTTTGTCAATTAAACCACAAAACACTCGTCCCACGGTCTATCCTCCCTGCAAATCGTCCTATAACATAACCTCCTAATAACGCACCTCTATTTGGCAAGTTCTCTCTCAAAATGTGTCACTTTAATTGGCATGTCTCTATGGAACAGACAATTCTTTGCAATAGGCTGACCTATCACAGCGTTACTGAAAGCTCCAGGTAATCTCCAGTTCAATAGCCATTCTCTACTGTAACTCCTTTTGCTAACACTGTATACACTAACACTTTGAACATCAGGGACAATGGTTACAAGGTCTTCATGTCCAATGACTGATACTAGACCAGGATTTGTAACTGGTGTGTGAGCTACACCATTGATGCAGTGCCCAATGGGAGCTAATTGGCAAGGATTTCCTCTTACAATTGACACGGGTCACTTGTGACTGGAGCACAACTGACAGCAACCTCATTGGCCTTTGTGGTGACTATTCCAAACTTAATTCATGTATAGAACCCGTGGAAATAGGAGCCAGGAGTAGATGCTGGGGGTTTGGGATATGGGCACATATAAGGGTTATTGAAGCTAGGGTTGTAGGGGGGATGGTGGTGGTAATGTTGTTGCCTTTGTCCATCAGGTTGTCACCTGTCTACTTCCTTCAGCAGCCAGTTCCAGATTCAGTGCTCAATCTTTGAGAACCAGCTGTTTTGAAACCATTGCCACAGGCAGCCCATAGAGTGGAGCAATAAGGACTCTGTGGCTGTCTCCCAGTCTCTCACATGGATCTTTTGTGATTTGCAGGCAGACAAGCCAGTCCAGAACATGGTGGTGGCAATCAGCTGCACCTTGGTGTTTGTTGTCTACATTGTGATGGCACTCATTGCCCACAAGCTGGACTACATCGATATCAACCGTGCTGGTATTATCCCACTTTGTGGGCAGCATGGGCAGTACAAGTATGAAGTCATGGTGAAAACTGGCTGGTGCAGGAATGCAGGTAAAATATTTAATTACAGTATCAACACAAACATCAGACAGAAGCATGACACTAGGAAGATAAGAATCACAGATGGATCTAAGATTTTGCCCTGTAGATATCTTCCTCTTTTTCTCCCACATGTAAATACATGATGGTCAGATGCAGAAACTCTCGCAAAGCCATTCCAAGATAATGCAAGCAGCTAGTTTAAAATAAATATATGTAGCAACTGCTCTAGTTAACACCAGAAACAGAAGAAACCAACTCTTGAGAACACGTATTATAAGATTCCTGGTCAAAGTGAATTCCAGAAGCTCTGTTGTACAAGTCCTTAACACAATTGTTGATTGTCTTAGAATATATATAGAACAGTACAGCACAGTACAGGCCCTTCGACCCACGATGTTGTGCCGAAATTTTACCCTAAACCTAAGGTCTATCTAACCTCCATCGCTACCTTATACTATCATCCATATGCCTATCTAATAGCTGCTTAAATGCCCCTAATGAGGCCGACTCCACTACCCTCTCCGGCAATGCATTCCACGCCCCGACCACTCTCTGAGTAAAGAACCTACCTCTGACGTCTCCCCGATATCTACCTCCTTTCACTTTAAAACTATGTCCCCTTGTAAAAGCTACCTCTATCCTAGGAAAAAGTCTCTGGCTGTCTACTTTGTCTATACCTCTGATCATTTTGTACACCTCTATCAAGTCACCTCTCATCCTTCGTCATTCTAAAGAGAAAAGCCCTAGCTCTCTCAACCTGTCCTCATAATACCTTCCCTCCATTCCAGGCAACATCCTGGTAAATCTCCTGTGCACCTTTTCTAACACTTCCACATCTTTCCTGTAATGAGGTGACCAGAACTGGACACAATACTCCAGATGTGGCCGAACCAGGCTTTTGTATAGCTGGAGCATAGCTTCACGGCTCTTGAACTCAATCCCTCTACTGTGATGGGAGGACTGTGCTGATAGTTAAACTGCACCACTTCACCAGTCACAGCATGAAATACATGTTTTGATTTAATCACCAAAATGGCCAATTCCATCCTTTGTGCTTTCATCCTGGGTAAAAGAAACATTTATCTGACTTCTTTAATGAACTCAATAATCCCATTTATTCTCAACAAAACTTATTCTTAAATTAAGTGGCAACAACTGATTAACATCTAAGCTGCAGTCCAGAATTAAAACACTATCCCCTTATTTCCAAACATAGACACACATACACAACACAAAACGTCTCTGCAGAGATGTTTTTTTAACAAGTCAAAAGGAAACCAACAAACTTCTGTGGGCCATGGGTCTGGAAACAGAGGATAAAATCCGATGATTTTTTCACACTGGATTTCCTGTCAATGCAACTTAATTTGGTGATAGCCATAGACTGATTTTAAATGTCAATTCTGATTCCAACCAACTTGAACTTCTGTTTCTAGAATGTAGTTACAGTGTACCGCTTCACAGGCAGACAGAAATGCTGGTGGTCCCCAGAAACTTCGACTGAACAACAGGATTTCAGGAAAATAGCCTTTAGCTTCAGGGATGCCTCCTTTACTGACTCCTGGATATATAAAATTCTAAATTCAAAGTGAAAGCTAGTTTTTCCCACAATTTAATACAATATACCCCATCTCTTATCTCTTTGAAAGCTTTGATTAGCTGCTTCTTCAAAGTCACTTGTTTCCAGTGAAAAAAGTAGGTGATTTCATGTCCGACAAATCACATGGTAAAACCTATTTCTATTCAGCAAGTATGCTAGTAGCTCAAACTGTTCCAGGTATATGTAGAATGGATTCCCAGCAGTTTCTACTGTAACCTAACTTGTCCAGCAGATCGTATGGGAAGTCAAAATTAAGCATGAATGAAGTTTTTTTTATTTATTCATTTTGTGGGATGTGGGGTCATTGGCTGGCCAGCATTTATTGGCCTGTCCCTAGTTACCTTTGAGAAGGTGGTGATGAGCTGCCTTATTGAACCACTGCAGTCCATCTGCTAGGGGTTGACCCACAATGCCATTAGGGAGGGAATTCCAGGACTTGGACCCAGTGACAGTGAAGGAATGGTGATATATTTCCAAGTCAGGATGGTGAGTGGCTTGGAGGGGAACTTGGAGATGGTGGTATTCCCATGTATCTGCTGCCCTGTGTCCTTCTAGATGGAAGTGGTCGTGGGTTTGAAAGGTGCTGTCTGAGGATCTTTGGTGAGTTTCTGCAGTGCATCTTGTAGATAGTACACATTGCTGCTACTGAGCGTTGGTGGTGGAGGAAGTGGATGCTTGAGGATGTAGTGCCAATCAAGCAGGCTGCTTTTTCCTGGATGGTGTCAAGCTTCTTGAGTGTTGTTGGGGCTGCACTCATCCAGGCAAGTGAGAAATATGCCTTGTAGATGGTGGACAGGCTTTAGGGAGTCAGGAGGAGAGTTACTTGCCACAGTGTTGTTAGCCTCTGACCTGTTCTCTTAGCCATTGTGTTTATGCAGTGTGTCCAGTTGAGTTTCTGATCAATGGTAACCCCAAGGATGTTGATAGTAGGGGATTCAGTGATGGTAACACCATTGAATGCCAATGGGCGATGGTTAGATTGTCTCACATTGGTGATGGTCATAGCCTGGCATTTGTGTGGCACGAATGTCACTTGCTATTTGTCAGCCCAAACCTGGATATTGTCCAGATCTTGTTGCATTTGAACACGGACTGCTTCAGTATCTGAGGAGTCACGAATGGTGCTGAACATTGTGCAATCATCGGCGAACATCCCCACTTCTGACCTTATGATGGAGGGAAGGTCATTGACGAAGCAGTGGAAGATGGTTGGGTCTAGGATACTACCCTGAGGAACTCCTGCAGAGATGTCCTGGATCTGAGATGTCTGACCTCCAACAACCATGACCGTCATCCTATGTGTCAGGTATGACTCCATCCACAGGAGAGTTTGCCCCCTGGTACTCATTGATTCCAGTTTTGCGAGGGCTCCTTGATGCCACACTCGATCGAATGTAGCCTTGATATCAAGGGCTGTCACTCTCATCTCACCTCTGGAATTCAGCTCTTTTGTCCATGTTTGAACCAAGGCTGTAATGAGGTCAGGAGCTGAGTGGCCCTGATGGAACCCAAACTGGGCATCACTGAGCAGGTTATTGCTGAGCAGGTGCTGCTTGATAGCACTGTTGATGACACCTTCCATCACTTTATTGATGATTGGCAGTAGACTGGGGCAGTAACTGGCCCGTTTGGATTTGTCCTGCTTTTCATGTACAAGATGAGAGCAATAGGGGATTACCGGATCCGGTGTTGAGGGTGGGTGTATGTGTAGCTGAATTGTTTGGGAGAGGTTGTTGACCACCTCCTTGTATTTGAAATCTTGGCGATTCCCTCTGCATGCTGATGGAAATATTCCGGCTTCCTGTTAGCGGCTGATCATTAACAGTATAGTGAGCAGTGTCAGACAATCTGTATATCGGTAACCTCTGTCCCCATTAAAGGTGCAGCCTTTTAAAGGGGCTGTCATTGCCCTACCTCACCTCCGCATTGATTATTTAAGACCAATCTGAGAGTCTTGAGCTGAAAGTTTAAATTTCAGTGGTGTGGAGAGTTGTAATGTGAGAGTCGTGGACAGCTGAACTACTTCATCACCAGCAAATCACAATGTCCTTTTTTTTGCTTTTAAACATTAACCTCCAACAGTAAAACACCCATGCAGCCAACTGCTCGGTCTACTTTATATATTTTTAATATTTATCTCTGAAGTATGATCTCACACCACTGAACAGCTGTCCCACTGCCAAAACATCGAAACTTTTTTTTGTTTTTTTAAGCATCAAGTGCAACCAGTAAAACACCCATGCAGCCAATTGCTGGGTCTATGTTGTAATTTTTTTTAAAGTCTATCTGTCCAGGTGTGTAGTTATGCACCTCTGGAGAAAATGGGACTTGAACCTGGGCCTCTTGTCCAGAAGTAAGGACACTACCACTACACCACAACAGTCTGTCTAGGTCTGCAATTTCTTTTCTTGTCCTTGCAAGCCTTTCCCAACATCACATCACCATTACTTTTGTTTTCGTTCTTAACTATTAACCAGCACCAGTAAAATCACTTGTGTAACTAATTAGACATTTACATGCAAAGCCCATTACAGGCAAAATAAATCATCAAAAGTGTGGGAGGGGGAGGGAAAGTGGGAAGGGACTAAATCAAAATGGAGTTGCAGGAGGAAGTAAAGCACTGTATCCCCGTGGTGCCTCACCTCTCTCTAAAGGCATCAAAAAGCGTTTCTTTTTTTTTGTGTAGCCCAGAAGTGTTATCACACGCAACTGAGTGAATTTTCCAGCACCAAAATCACAATGACTGTTTCATTTGTAAAGTACTAACCACCACCAGTAATCACTTGAGGGTCTGCTATTTTTCAACCTATTTCCTAATCAACCTGTTCAAATATGTTATTTCCCACCTCTGGAATTGGTGGGACATGAACTGGACCTCGGTCCCCTAAGAGGGTCTGCTTGATTTTTTTTAATACTCCAAAGTGCAATTACATGCAATGTGAGACCTTCATACTACCAAAACCACTGTGACTTTATTTTGTGTTTTTCTTAACTACTATCCATCACCAGTAAAATAAATACTTGTGTAGCCAATTCAGTATTTATTAAAGCCCATTGTGGGCAATGCAAACCATCAAAAATGAAGAGGGGTAGGGAGAGAAGGAAGGGATAGGGTCTGCTTTATATTTTCTAATCAATCAATCCAGCAATACTATTTCGCACTTCTGGAGCGGATGGAACCCAAGCCCCCCGGTCCAGGGTGGGAGGTCTGTTTTATAACCTTTCTAAATTTTTAAAGATTTTACCTATTTTTATAATCAACATACCTCTGGAGCAGATTGCATTTGAACACGGGCCTCCCGGTCTAGATGGTCTGCATTTTTTTCAAGATCCCTACAATACAGAAAGAGGCCATTTGAACCATCACGTTTGCACCAGCCCTCTGAAGAGCATCCAAACCAGGCCCCTACCCTACCCCTGCATTTACAGCCTAGCCTACACATCCCTGGATACTACAGACAATTTAGCATGGCCAATCTACCTAGCTTACACATCTTTGGACTGTGGGCGGACACCGGAGCACCTGGAGCAAACGCACGCAGACACGGGGAGAACATGGAAATTCCACACAGACAGTCACCTAAGGATGGACTCAAACCCATGCCCCTGGTACTGTGAGGCAGCAGTGTTAACCACTGAGTGACCATGCTGCCCAGTCACAGAGCACATCAGGGTTAGCCTCAGTGTCCTGGCAAATATTTGTTCCTGAATCAGTATTACAGAAGTAGATTATCCAATTGGAATTCCATTGTTGTTTACGGGAGGTTTGATTCATGTGAATTGTTGTAAATGTGACATTACAACAGTTGTACCATTTCAAAAGTGCAACATTGGCTGTAGGACTCACTGGGATGGCCTTTGGTCATGAAGAGTGCTGTAGAAGTGCAAGTTCTTTCTTTCCTCAGGTACAACAGCCCATGTGGGCATCAGTCTGTATGGCCTGAACAAGAGTGGGTCCCGCCACCTGGACAAGGAAGGAGCATTCCAGAGAAACAGTCTGGACATTTTTCAGATTGAGACAGATGCCAATTTGGGTGAGATTTGGAAGATCAGAATCTGGCATGATAACACAGGTAGGTGCAAGTGAGCAAATTGGAGACTTCTCTGGGTTAGTGGCAGCTGAAGCAATGACCTCTGACCTACCAGCTGAATGCTAAATTTGCTCAGCTCTACATTGATTTGTAATGTTTAGTATATTACATATCTTCATGAAGCCTGATCACTGTGTCACATTCAATAGATCATCACTGATAATCTTGTTAAGGTCAGGCAGCAGATTGACCCAATGTTGCTCAGGGCATCCATTACTTGATTTAGTGTCAACTCACAGAAGAATGGCGTAGATGGACAGTGGGTGTAATAGTACTTCTCACTTGAGAATAGTTCTTTTTCACTATTAAGTCACAGAGTTCATAGCAAGGAAATATGCCCTTCGCTCCATTATGTTGTGTTCATCATCAAGCACCTATCTATCTCAGTTTCTTTTTCCAGCGCTCGATCTGTACCCTCGTATGCTATGGCATTTCAAGTGTACGTCGAAACACTTCTTAAAATTGAATACCTTTCAACTGTACTAATGGATTCACGTCCCAAAGTTGATCCTGCCTTTTTTTTTCTCCTCCAGATACTTACAAGAGTGGATCTGTACTTGTACGATTTTTCTGTTTTTATTGCAGCTTTTAATTTTGGTTTGTAAATGTCGCTCATATGATGAAGTGTACACTCACTGTCGTAATGTTAGGACATGAACTCTATCACTATTGCTATCACTATAAATACTTCCTTGCCTGCTCAATGTTGCCAGCATTTACTGCTTATAATAATATCACCTAAATTTGATTTTTATCATCATGGACAAGCTGTCAGTTTGACTAAGTTAAATCTTCTACCATGTTAGAGTGATGTAAGTTCCTTGCGTGATTAAACATCACAGAGAATCTGAGTTGGACATGCACACGCCCGGGGCAGATCAAATCTTCCAGACTGGCAGGCTTCAGGTGCTGAATGGACTACCTCTATTTCTTTTTTATTTGTAATTGCAGGGGTAGAAATTCAGATGTTTATGGGAATTGCTCAGAATTAAAACAATAACTACTTTGAACTGACTGAAATATCAAAATAAGTATCAAAGTAGTAACTGTTGACAGTGATTAATAGCTTTTGTATTGGATGTAATGTGTGATCTTAGTTGGCATGTACAGCATTATCAGACAATTGAGGGCCACATTTAAAGCAGTTCATGGCTGATCCATGGCCGATCCATGGCCAAACTCCATGTACGTGCCTTTGGCCAATATCCTGTAATATCTTGCTTCACAAAATTTATCTATCTCAGATTTAAAGCTGACAACTGATCTAGGCATCCACTGCCATTTGTTCTAAATATCTACCACCCTTAGTGTGTAGGTAACTGGGTTATTTCTAGACCTTGCGCTCCTGCGAGTGGAAATCAGAAATTCTAGAACAATTTTCCAACAGCTTTTAAGTTTCTAAGTTGAACACATATATGCAGAATGGTTCATTTCCTTGTGTGGACAGACTCCTTTTTAAATATTGCTGTTCTCTGCAGGACTGAGCCCCTCTTGGCACCTGGAGCACGTGGCAGTTTGGGACAAGCAGACTGACATTATGTACTATTTCCTGGCTCAGGACTGGTTATCAGTGGAGAACGAGAAGAATGAGGGGATGGTGGAGAAGGATGTGTTGGCAGCGTGTAAGTATGGTCACATCAGCAACTTGAATGGATGCCAGTTGTGGTACTGCCACTGAGCCATTTGACCTTAGGATATTCTTAAGATAAAACCAAGAATAGGGCTCAATCTAGATGTTGCCATTCACAGTGTGGGCTGTTCACCTTTCCTCAAACACACTTCAAGGTTCTGAGTTGCATGGGTTTGATGGCACAAAGAAAGAAAGATGAGTAGCACCTTTTGTGACTTCAGGATACCCCAATGCACTTTACAGTGGATTGATGCTATAACATCAGAAACACAGCAGCTAATTTGCACCACAGCCATCTCTGTGACAGCAACCAGATCATGTGTTATTAATAATACTGGCCAGTGATATATATCAGGACAGCTCTTTTGCATTCCTTCAAAATAGTGCATTGGGGACATAGATGGGACCTTATGTAATTTCCTCCAAAATTCAGCACCTCTGATAGTGTAGTACCTTAATAAAAACTGTCCTGAGACAAAGAATTCCTGCTCATGCTTCACAACACTGTGGGTCACAGAACAGACTTTAAGGAACAGGTGAACTGTGTTGGGAATGGCAAGCAGGCTGCTAAGTCAGTTCTTTTCTGACATTTGTCAACCTCACCAGTTTGCAAAGTTTACACAGTTTGACCTCCAGAAATATTTTCAATACTAGCAGAGCATCACAGTGGGTGGCATGCTGGCTCTGTGATTAACACTGCTGCCTCACAGTGCCAGGGACCTGGGTTTGATTCCACCCTCAGGCGACTGTCTGTGTGGAGTTTGCACATTGTCCCCGTGTCTGTGTGGGTTTTCTCCGGGTGCTCCGGTTTCCTCCCACAGTCCAAAGATGTGCAGGTTAGGTGGATTGGCCGTGCTAAATTGCCCGTAGAATACAGCATTGTGCAGGCTAGGTGGATTAGCTATGGGAAATGCAGGGCCGTGAGAATGGGGAGAGGAGGTAGGTTTGGATCGGATGCACTTTGGAGGGTCAGATCAGCAGGACATCTTCTAGGGATTCCAGGACCAGGTCAGTTTTACCTTACTCTGTACCAAAGCTAGTCATCCCATCCTATCCTGCCTCTCCCTTACATTCACAAGGTTATATTTCAGTTAGACACTCACTCTCACTCTTGACCACTGCCTCTCTGATTCCCACAAGTCTTTCACTTCCAAAGAAAGAAAATTCAACTTCCACAGCCTTTCCGGGCTGTCCTGATGCAAACTGATATCAGTTGCCACTAGACTTGATCTGCTGTCTCTTCCTGCACACATAGGAAACTGGAACATGTTCATCAGTTTCACAATGCAGTTTCAGCTTGGCTTAGTAGTAACACTTTTGTTATTTGCATGTGTCAGTTGTCTGTAATTATCTGCAGATATTGGGAAATACCCTGGAGTTCACCTGAGCTCTTGTAAATAGACATACAAAGTCTCTTGTGGCGCAGTGATAGTGTCATTGCATCTGAGCTGGATTTTTTTGTTTCAAGGCTCACCTGCTTTTCAGGTAGTAACACTGTCATAACACTTCTGAACAGGTTGATTGAAAAATCTACCTCTGGGCCAAGTCCCACTTTTCCTGGAGGTGTTTCATCATGTGTCCAAGGAGGTTGATTTAAAAATAATTAAATGAATAGGCAAATACAGGGTGAGGAGTTGTATGCTCGTGTACTGATTGGAATGAGGCCCAAGTGGATTTTGTCAAGTATGAGATCCCTGATTGTGGTTGTTAAACTGGGCAAATCAGGGAGCCCTGGCTGACAGGTATAAACGGGAGACCACAAAAATAAAACAGGAGATTCAGAAAGTCTCCTCATTCTTGGGACTGGTTCTGAGCAAGCTAGAGTATATGTACTGTGCATGGGTAAATAATGGGTGACTTGGTGATGGGATGCTGACTTCTGTGGAGTTATTTCAGCTTGTAATGTGTAATGCGGTAAATATTAAGCATGTGCAAAGCTTGGTTTCAGTTCTACCCTTCAGCAATTGGCTTTCTGAAATAGAATGAGGTAACAGATGATGGTTACCTAAAGGTGAATATTGAAAGTTAGGGAAAACAAATACAGACAAAAAGCTGCAATCATTGTAAAAAAAGACACAACACAAATATAAATTGGCTGAGTGTAATTACCATCTAACATTCTCAGAGTCTGAACCATATGAGCAATGGAATAATGAAGTTAATCCATATACACAGGTTACATCCCTGCCAAAGAGGACATGATGTGTTGTCCCATCTGGCCAGTGATTAGTGCGCTCGGTTACAAGTTCAATGAAGATCATCTTGCATGGAATCTATGATAAATCATCAGATTTAGTTAGGTTTTAGAACCAGCTGGCCATTCCATGAAGAAATATCTCATGGACTTTAACAAATTGTATGTACAACTAATGGAATTCAATATGGGGAATGCCAGGATCATTTGAAATTGCTGGATTGTGCTGATGTGGACAGGCTCCAGTTTCTAACTGATAGTCATTTGTAATAAAATGAGAGCCTGATACATCAGATATCTGCTACCTTGAAATAGCTCCTGGGACAAATAGTTCTTTCTTTCAAACTTTGTTGAATAAATGGGGCATTCCATGGTAGCAAAGAATACAGAATGCATTGATTGCTAGATGTCAAGATGGGCTAAATACTGAATGGGGTCATCAATATAATGGAAATATTAAAGATAGGATGAAACAAAATGCGCCAGAAGTACCTTTACAAGATCTGTATTATAGTAGCTGACAGAATTTGATAGTCAATACTCAACAAATTTACTACCAGGAACGTTGAAGAAGTGGCTAGGCTACTTTTGGAATACTGCGTTCAGTTCTGGTCTCCCTGCTACAGGAAAGATGTTGTTAAACTTGAATGGGTGCAGAAAAGATTTACAAGGATGTTGCCAGATTTGGAGCGTTTGAGCTATAAGAAGAGGCTAAGTAAGATGAGACTATTTTCCCTGGAGTGTTGGAGGTTGAGGGATGTCCTAATAGAGGTTTATAAAATTATGAGGGGCATGGATAGGGTAAATTACCAAGGTCATTTTCCCAGGCTAGAGGAGAAAACTAGAGGGCATAGGTTTAAGGTGGAAAGATATAAAAGGGACCTAAGGGGCAAAGGGGCAAATTTTTCATACAGCGGGTGCTCCATGTATGGAATGAGCTGCCAGGAGAAGTGGTGGAGGCTGATACAGTTAGAGCATTTAAAAGGCATCTGAATGGGTATATGAATATGAAGGGTTTAGAGGAATACGGGCTAAATGCTGGAAAATGGGACTAGATTAATTTAGGATATCTGGTTGATTGAGTTTTTTTTATTGTTATGTGTACCGAAATACAGTGAAACACTTTGTTTACGAGCAGTCTAGGCAGATCATAATAAGTAAAGGCTGTACAGATCAAAAAGACTTAGACAGGGCGTGCGCTAGGTGAGATCAATGTTAGCAAGATCAGCGTTAGTTGAGGCTAAAGAGTCCATTCATCAGTCTGATAATGGCAGGGAAGAAGCTGCTCCTGAACCTGCTCGTGCATGTATTCAAGCTTCTGTATCTTCTACCTGATAGAAGATGTTGTAGGAGATCATTACCAGAGTGCAATGGATCTTTGGTGATGTTGGCAGCCTTTCCATGGCAGCGAGCCGTGTAAATAGAGTCCATGGTTGGGAGGTTGGGGGGTTGAGGACACATTCTTGGGGAGCTCCAGTGTTGAGTGTTATTGTGGAGGAAGTGCAGTTACCTATCCTCACTGATTGTGGCCCATGGGTCAGAAAGCGGTGGAGCCAAGACCAAGGTCTCTCAATTTTAAGATCAGTCTGGAGGGGATAACGGTGTTGAAGGTGGAGCTGTAGTCAATGACCAGGAGTCTGATGTAGGTGTCTTTGTTGCCCGGACATTCCAGGGATGGGTGCAGGGCTAGGGATATGGCATCCTCTGTGGACCTGTTACGTCGGTAGGGAAATTGTGGGGGATTGAGGCAGGCTGGGAGGCTAGAGTAGATGTGGGCCATGACTAGCTTCTCGAAGCACTTCATGATTATTGAGGTCAGAGCCACTGGGCAGTAGGCATTAAGACAGACTGAATGTGTTTTCTTGGGTATGGGGATGATGGTGGTCTTGAAGCAGGTGGGGAATTCGGCTTGTAGGAGGGAGAGGTTGAAGATATTGGTGAACACCTCCACCAGTTGGTCCATCTGAGTGTTCGGCCGGGGACACTGTCCGGGTCTGTTGCTTTCCATGGGTTGACTCCCAGGAAGAGACCGATCCGATGTCCAAAGGGATGATGGAGAGAACAGCTGTGTCCGGGGCTAAAGGGGCAGGCATGACTACAGTGCTGACATTCTGATCAAATTTTGATTCAAGAGCCAACTATACAGTAAATGGAAAAGCCCTGGGGAAAATTGATGCAGAGAGAGATCTAGGTGTTCAGGTCCATTGTACCCTGAAGGTGGCAACGCAGGTCGATAGAGTGGTCAAGAAGGCATACGGCATGCTTTTGTTCATTAGACAGGGTATTGAGTACAAGAGTTGGCAGGTCACGTTACAGTTGTATAGGACTTTGGTTCGACCACATTTGGAATACTGCGTACAGTTCTGGTCGCCACATTACCAAAACGATGTGGATGCTTTGGAGAGGGTGCAGAGGAGGTTCACCAGGATGTTTCCTGGTATGGAGGGCACTAGCTATGAAGAGAGGTTGAGTAGATTAGGATTATTTACATTATAAAGACGGAGGTTGAGGGGGGACCTGATTGAGGTCTACAAAATCATGAGAGGTATAGACAGGGTGGATAGCAAGAAGCTTTTTCCCAGAGGTGGGGACTCAATTACTAGGGGTCACGATTTCAAGGTGAGAGGGGAAAAGTTTAAGGGAGATATGCGTGGAAAGTTCTTTACGCAGAGGGTGGTGGGTGCCTGGAATGCATTGCCAGCGGAGGTGCTAGAGGCGGGCACGATAGTCATTTAAGATGTATCTAGACAGATACATGAATGGGCAGGGAGCAGAGGGAGACAGATCCTTGGAAATAGGCTTAGATAGGGGATCTGGATCGGCACAGGCTTGGAGGGCCGAAGGGCCTGTTCCTGTGCTGTAATTTTCTTTGTTCTTCTTTGTTCTTTGTTCTTTGTTCTAAACTGAGCATAGAAAGTATTGAGCGCATCAGGGAGGGATGTGTCTTTGTCCGCTATCTTGCACTGCTTCATATTGTATCCTGTAATGTCGTTTAGACCTTGCCATAGAAGGCGGGAGTCTATTTGGTAGGTTTGGGCCTTTAACTGGGTCCGGTACTGCCTATTGGCATTCCTAATGGCTTTGTGGAGAGGACATAATTGAGATGTATAAAATTATGAGCGGTGGGGTAGACGGAAGAAATCTATCCCTTTGGTGGAGGGATCAATAACCAGGGGACATAGATTTAAGATGAGGGGTGGAAGATTTACAGGAGATGTGAGGAAAAGCTTTTTCACCCAGAGGGTGGTGAGAATCAGGAACTCACTCCCTTAGGGTGGTTGAGGGAAATCAGAAACACTCATAACATTGAAGAAGCATTTAGATACGCATTTGCAATGCCAAAGTATACAAGGCTGTGGGCCAAGTGCTGGAAAATAGGTTCAGAGTCGTTAGATGGTTGTTTTTGACTGGTGTGGATGCAATGGGATGAAGAGCCTTTTCCAGTTCAGTAGATCTCTATGACTCTATGAGGACATGTGTAAAAACATGAACATCATAGTCATGAAAAAGATGCTGAAAGTACTTTCAGCAAAGGCCTCTGAAGAAATTCAAGTGATGATCAATCAAAATGTTGCATAAAACTTCAGCTGATTAATGAGACAAGTCCCATGCTATTCATGCAAAGAAATTGTTTCAGCAGGTTGGAAGACATAGTCCCAATCAATTAATCTTTGAGTAACATCCCTGGCTGCCGCTGAGTTGTGAGGTAGTAGTACTGTTGGAGTCACTGTAACCAGTTCAGATCATTCTTATAATTAGCAGGAGATTTAATAGGACAGATTAATTGTGCTTTATTACTTACAGAAGCAGATTTCTTCTATTAAACTCCAGTCGGATTGCATTTGGAGCCCTGTAGCCAAATTCTGAACCAATTTGTTAGGTAGAAACATTAAAGGCCAGTCCTTTTTCTGTCCAATGGTATTTCTTCACGAGGAATGTGTTCCTTTGCTGCTCTAAGTACTACTTTGCCCACTTCAGGTCCAAAATAATCTTGACAGAAGCCTAGGTTCTGGCAAGTGTCCAAAGTATTTTTGCTTCTTGTCCAGGCAAATAATTCCTGGTAGCCAGGCCATTGTCAAACATTACATTCCAAGTGCCGCCTGTTCACATACCATTATGAGTAGAATAAAGCTTTTTCACACTGTTTGGATTTCAACATTGAAGCCAAAACTTCTGTAGACAGTATTATGAGAACAGTTTCATGAATTATTTTCAGAAGGTTTGGGAAGACATTTTCCATAGGATGGATCTTTTGCATTTTAATAGCTTCTCAAAGATATGTCCAAAAGGTTAATTGCATTTTAATAATTTGTCCAGACATGAAGCTTAACTCAGTTATAAATGTTATATATTATTATGAAGATAACTTGGTGGTCTTCTAGTTTCATGTGCATTAGCAGGAAACAAGAGGTCACCTTACCTGTCAACTCCATTTTTAGAGGGTCTCTTTCAGAATTGTGTTTAACAAGTCTATATTGTATGAGCATGACATCCATTTGTTCATTAATGCTTGCTTGATTTTACATTGATTTTGGGCTTGACTCTTAAAACAAATGTTTTAAAAAGTGACATTGATTCCTTCTGTCAAAGTTGTCCTTTTTCAGGTAATTACTCCTTACAGGGGCCATATCAGTCGCTCTATTCTTTACACTTAATAGAATAGAATATCATGTAATCCCTCACAGACCTACAAATCTTAGCTCAGAATCCCAGCCTACACTCCAGTGTAATGCTGAGGGAGTGCTACAATATTAGCAGCGTGTCTTTCAGATGAGATATTAAAACAAATTTCTGGCTACAAAATATTGCATGTTACTATTTGAAAAAGAGCAGCAGAGTTCTGGCCAGTGTCATAGAATCCCTACAATGTGGAAACAGGCCCTTTGGCCCAACAAGTCCACACTGACACACAGAGCATCCCACCTAGACCTATCCCCCTGATCTACACATCCCTGAACACTATGGGCAATTTAGCATGGCCAATCCACCTAGCCTGCATATCTTTGGATTGTGGGAGGAAACCCACGCAGACACGGGGAGAGTGTGCAAACTCCACACAGACAGTCACCCGAGGGTGGGATCGAACCCGGGTCCCTGGTGCTGTGAGGCAACAGTGCTAACCGCTGAGCCACCGCGCTGTCCTGACCAATATTCTACAACCACCAGCACCAACCATGACCTAATCATTATTGATCTTATTGCTGGATACAGTCCGACAGCTAAAGGTGCTGAGGTTTCATGTAATCCTGATTTGAAGTTTTTGAGAAGATTTGTAGCTTGGGTTGTGGATGAGGTTGCAGACTTGCTCGCTGAGCCGGTGTGTTTGGTTGCATTTGATGATGTTGAGGAATTCTTAGGAGGAGTGGATGGATTGGGTAGTGTTGTCAACTAAGTATTTCAGTTTCCATTGTAGTTCTTTGGCAAATCTATATGTTGGTATGCCTGGTAGTGAGAAATGTGTCTAAGGGGTCCCCTGGCTTGTGTAGGGAGTTCATAGAACTGGGGTGTGTTGGATCCCAATGGCTTCATGTTTGGGTAGTCTGCCTTGCTGATGTCTCCTGGGCTGTGTGATGCAACCAAATGCACCGGCTCAGCAAACAAGTCTGCAATCTCAATCCTGATTTGTTTTGCTTTCATCTTTTCTAGGTCCCCAGGAGCTGCGTCGTTTCTCTCGTATTTTTGTCTCTCAGCTGAAGCGGGGTGTGTCAGAGAAGCACATCTGGCTGTCAGTCTGGGATCGTCTGCCTCGGAGCCACTTCACACGGGTGCAGCGGCTCACCTGCTGTACCCTGCTCATGTACCTGTTTCTCACTGCAGCAGCCACATGGTATGGAGCTGTGGGAGCCAAAAAAGAAAGGTTAGTACATGGTTACTATTCCAAATGATCATTCAACCCGCCAATCCTGATGTCCTGTGTTCATTGGTCAGGATGTCATTGTCCCGGTTCAGGGTTCATTGTACTGGTTCAGGCTGTCATTGTCCCAGGTCAGTGATGTCTACCATAGAGGCCTTCTGGCATGGCAAGGTGACCTCCTAGCCTGGCACAGTGGTCTCCAGCATGGAGTGCTGCTGGTGCGATGTGGAGCCAGGGCCCAGTGCAGACTGGAAGCTAGGTGCCAATGTGGTCTGCTGTACTGAAATCTTATTCTGTAATCCTGGACATTTTATTTCTGTATTGTCTAAATCTTGTAACTAAGAAAACTGAGTCTAGGTACTTTTGTATCTAAGATGGCACTGTAATTGGCAATGTATAACATTTTCACTATATTCATTGAGTATATGTGACATCAAAGACTATTCTATTCTATTCATTGCCCTAGTTCAGAGGGTCATTGTCCCAGGTCAGGGGTTCATTGTCCCAGGTCAGGGTGTCATTGTCCCAGTTCAGGGTGTCATTGTCCCAGGTCAGGGTGTCATTGTCCCAGGTCAGGGGGTCATTGCCCTCATTCAGTGTTAATTGCCCTAGTTCAGGGTTCATTATCCTGGTTCAGGGTGTCATTGTCCCAGGTCCAGGTGTCATTGTCCCAGGTCAGGATGTCATTTTTCCAGGTCAGGTTGTCATTGTCCAGGGATGGGATGTCATTATCTCAGGTCAGGGTGTCAGAGTCACTCAGCAGAGAAAAAGGCCCTTCAGCCCTCCATGTCACTGCTGACCATAAACACCAAGCTGCACGAGTCCTCCTTATCTAGATGCTTCTTAAATGTTGCCTCCACCACCCTCTCAGGCAACGTGTTCCATATTTCTACTACCTGATGGGTGAATTTAGTTTATCAGATCTCCTCAAACCACTTTCTCCTCTCCTTTAAGCTTATGCCCTCTGGTCTTAGGCTCATCTGCCATCGGGAAAAGATTCTCAGGATCTACCCTGTCTATGCCACTCGTTATTTTGAGTCAGCTCCCTCAGCCGCTTCTGCTCAAAGGTAAACAAATCCAGCCTATCCAGTATCTCCTCATAACTGAAACTTTTCAACCCAGGCAACATCCTGATGCATCTCCTCTGCACCCTCTGCAGTGAAATCATGTCCTTCAAATAGGATGGGAACTAGAACTGCACACACTATTCCATTTGTGGCCTCATAAGAAGTTGTAACAATGCTACATTGCTCCTATATTCCATGCCCTTGCTAATGAAGGCAAGCATCCAGTATGCTTTTTTTTCATCAGGTCTGGCAGCATCTGTGAAGAGAAAATCAGAGTTAACGTTTCGGGTCTGGTGATCCTTCCTCAGAACTGTCCTGAGGAAAGGTCACCGGACCCGAAACGTTAATTCTGATTTTCTCTTCACAGATGCTGCCAGACTTGCTGAGCTTTTCTAGCAACTTTGTTTTTGTTCCTGATTTACAGCATCCGCAGTTCTTTCGTTTTTTATTATGCGTTTTTTCATGGCCCTGTATGCATGTGTTCACATCTTCAGAGATCTATGGACTGGTACACCAAGGCCCCTTTGTTCCTCAGTACTCCCAAAGACCTACCATTCATTGTGTATATCCTTCCCTTATTGCATCCCAAAAGACACCACCACACAGTAATCAGGATTAAATTCAACTGCCATTGCTCTACCCAGTTTACAGCTAATCAATGTCAGACCATTCTCCTCATTATCAATAATGCCACCAATTTTTGTGTCATCTGCAAACTTACTAATTGTGCCTTCTACATTCACATCCATGTTGTTAATGTACATAACAAACAGCAACGGTCCCAGCACAGAACCCAATAGTACACTGCTGGGCACAGGCATTCAAACACAAGAATAACCCTCCATCATCTCCCTTTACCTCCTATTTGTAAGTCAAATTTGGATCCAATTTGACAACTTGTCTCAAATCCCATGGACCTTTACCTTTTATGGGCATTTACATTTTATATGGGAGCTTGTCATAGGCCTTGCTGAAGTCCACATCAACTGTACTATCTTCATCAACAAATTTGTCACCTTCTCAAAAAACGCAATTAAATTAGTCAGACATTATCTCCCTCTAAAAAATCCATGCTGACAATCCATAGAAGGTTTCATAGAATCCCTACAGTGTGGAAGCAGGCCATTCAGCCCATCAAGTCCACACCGACCCTCCAAAGAGCATCTGATGCAGACCAACCCCTTACCTTATTCTTGTAATGTTGCATTTCCCATGGCTAATCCACTTAGCCTGCACATCTTTGGATTGTGGGAGGAAACCGAAGGAAACCTGCGCACACACGGGGAGAATGTGCATACTCCACAAAGACATTCGGCCAAGGCTGGAATCAAACCTGTGTCCTTTGTACTGTCAGGCCACAGTGCTAATCACTGAACCATTGTGCTGCCCCTCAGACATTTTTCCAATAATTTCTCCACCACTAACATTAGACTAACTGGTCTATGATTACCTGGCCTATCCCGACTAATCATCTTGAACAAAGGAATCACATTTGCTATCCTCCAGTCATCTGACACATGCCCTGAGGCCAGTGAAGTATTAAATATCTCCACCAGGGCCCCAGTAATCACCTGCCTTGCCTCCCATAGCAGCCTGGGATACATCTCATCAGACCCTGGGGATTTATACACATTTATGCTCACTAAAACATGTAATAACTCCTCCTTATTAATCTAAATATCTTCTAGAACCTCACCATTTCAACTGAAATCTCGGCTACAATATATTTCTCCTCTGTGAATACACATGAGAAGTATCTATTTAACACCTCACCCATACTGACTGGCTCTACGCACTGTTCAATAATCATGAGGTGCTTCAAGAGGCTGGTCATGGTCCACATCAACTCCAGTCTCCCAAACCTGCCTTGAACCCACACAGTTTTCCTACCCACATAACAGGTCCACAGAGGATGCCATGTCCGTAGTCATGCACTCTTCTCTGGAACATCTGAACAACAAAGACACCTATGTCAGACAAACAAAGAACAAAGAACAAAGAAAATTACAGCACAGGAACAGGCCCTTCGGCCCTCCAAGCCTGCGCCGATCCAGATCCTCTATCTAAACCTGTTGCCTATTTTCCAAGGATCTGTATCCCTCTGCTCCCTGCCCATTCATGTATCTGTCTAGCTACATCTTAAATGACTATCGTGCCCGCCTCTATCACCTGCGCTGGCAACACGTTCCAGGCACCCACCACCCTCTGCGTAAAGAACTTTCCACGCATATCTCCCTTAAACTTTTCCCCTCTCACCTTGAAATCGTGACCCCTAGTAATTGAGTCCCCACCTCTGGGAAAAAGCTTCTTGCTATCCACCCTGTCTATACCTCTCATGATTTTGTAGACCTCAATGAGGTCCCCCCTCAACCTTCATCTTTCTAATGTAAATAATCCTAATCTACTCAACCTCTCTACATAGCTAGCGCCCTCCATACTAGGCAACATCCTGGTGAACCTCCTCTGCACCCTCTCCAAAGCATCCACATCGTTTTGGTAATGTGGCGACCAGAACTGTACACAGTATTCCAAATGTGGTCGAGGCAAAGTCCTATACAACTGTAACATGACCTGCCAACTCTTGTACTCAATACCCCGTCCGATGAATGAAAGCATGCCATATGCCTTCTTGACCACTCTATCGACCTGCGTTGCCACCTTCAGGGTACAATGGACCTGAACACCCAGATCTCTCTGTGCATCAATTTTCCCCAGGGCTTTTCCATTTACTGTATAGTTCACTCTTGCTCATTGACTGCAGCTCCGCCTTCAACACCGTTATACCCTCCAGACTGATCTCAAAACTGTGTGACCTTAGTCTTGACTCCGCCCTCTGCAACTGGATCCTCAGCTTTCTGACCCATGGGCTGCAATCAGTGAGGATAGGTAACTGCACTTCCTTCACAATAACGCTCGACACTGGAACCCCTCCAAGGATGCGCCCTCAGCCCCTACTGTACTCCTTGTATAACTATGACCGTGTTGCCAAATTCTGAATGAATGCCATCTACAAGTTTGCTGATGACACCACTGCAGTTAGTCAAAATACAGAAGCGAGATAGAGGGCTTGGTTAAAGTTTCTGAGACAATTTGTAGCTTAGGTTGTGGATGAGGTTGCAGACTTGCTCGCTGAGCTGGTGTGTTAGATTGCAGACGTTTTGTCACCCTGCCTCTGGAGGCGCACTGACAATGTTACCTCACGGGGTGACGAAGCATCGCGATCAAACACACCGGCTCAGCAAGCAAGTCTGCAACCTCAGAGGGCTTGGTGACATGGTGCAATGAAAACAATCTGTCTCTCAACGTCGGCAAAACTAAAGAACTGATCATCAACTTCAGAAAGAAAGGAGGAGAACACACCCCCAGCTTCATCAACAGAACTGAGGTTGACAGAGTGAAAAGCATGAAGTTCCTTCGAGTGAAAAGCATGAAGTTCCTTGGAGTGACGATAACTGACAATCTGTCCTGGACTTCCCACGTAGATGCGACAGTCAAGAAGGCACAACAACACCTCTTCTTCCTCAGGCGGCTCAGGAAATTTGGCATGTCCATAAGGTTCCTCACCAACTTCTACAGATGCACCACTGAAACCATACTGTCCGGGTGCATAACGGCCTGGTATGGCAACTGCTCTGCCCAGGACCGTAAGAAACTACTGAAGGTGGTGTGCACAGCCCGGACCATCACAGAAGCCAACCTCCCATCCATGGACTCTATTTACACGGTTTGCTGCTGGGGAAAGGCGGCCAACAACATCAAAGACCCATTACACTCCGATAATGATTTCCTATAACCTCTTCCGTCAGGCAGAAAGTACAGAAGCCTGAACACATGGACAAGCAGGTTCAGGAACAGCTTCTTTTCTGACTGTTGAATGGATTCTAGCCTCAAATAATGTGACCTGCAATGTAACCTGTATGCCTCTAAGTCATTTTGGTCTGTACATCCTTTGCTTGCTGTGATCTAGCTGTACATCTCATAAGCAAAGCTTTTCACTGTATTTCAGTACACATGACAATAAAATCAAAATCAAATCAAATTGTCCCTTTGGTCTCTAATAGACCTCACTCTTTCCCTGGTAGTCCACTTACTCTTAACATATTTATAAAATGCCTTGATGTTTTCCTTAATATTCCCTGCCAAAGATATTTCGTGGCCCTCCTAATTTCCTTTTTAAGATTCCCCTACACTCCCTATAATTTGGAAGGGCCTTCACTGTTTTTAATGCACTGTACCTAACATATGCTTCCTTCCTTTACTATATCAAACTGTTGATATCCCTGGACATCCAGCGTTCCCTGGATTTTCTGCCCTTGCTCTTCACTCTTAGAAGAACAAGCTGACCCTGAACTCTTACTGTACTACTTTTAAATGTCTTCCACTTTCCAAATAGCCTTACCTGCAAGTAGCTGCTGCCAGCCTATGTCTGCAAAATGCTGTTGAATATTAAAATTGATCTTAGACACTTAGCTTCTGCATTGTCCTGAAATGTTTCCAGAATGACTTTGAAACTTGCAGTCATGGTCACCATCCCAAAATGCTCACCTACTGAAACTTCCACCACTTGACTGACTTCATTCCCTAGGATTAGGTCTAGCGCTGCCCCATCTCAAGTAGGACTATTTACGTACTGGCACAAAAATCTCTCCTGGATGAACTTGAAATATCCCATCCAATATAATCCTTTCACACTAAGGCTGTATCAGTTAATTTTAGCAATGTTGAAATCCCCTACAAGTATGACCCTGTTTTTCACACACCTTTCTGTGATTTGTCTACATTTCTCCCTCTATCTCCCTTTGACTGGTGGGAGGCCTATAGTATAATTCCAGAAAAGTGATCTTGGGTCAGGGGAGCCATTGTCTTGGGTCAGGGGAGCCATTGTCTTGGGTCAGGGGAGTCATTGACCTGGGTCAGGGGGTCATTGTCTAGGTCA